GGATTTGAACTCAAGACCTTGCGTTTGCTAGGCAGGTGCTCTTCCACTTGAGCTACAAGTGTCGTTCCCCACCCCCCCCACACACACACCCCCCGACACACACACAGTCTTAATAAACTTTTAGTTTATCCTTACGATAATTTTGGGGCATGAAATGTATATTCTAGAAATACACAGTGGTAGAAAGGCTATAAAGAAGTTGAGGAAATGCCTTCCAATTATTTAAATGTATGTTCATTGAAGGACTCTGCTAGGCCCTGGGAATACAAAGATGAATAAGACAGAGGAAGAGATCAGGAGAATTGCATTTTCTAGGCCAGCCCAGAGGAAAAAAAAAAAGTTTGAGTCCCTATCTAAACATAAAAAAGGGTGTTGTGGCATGTGCCTGTCATTCTAGCAATAGTTGGCAGCTTAAATTAGGAGGATCATAGTCCAGCCAGCCTGGACAAAGAGAGTCCATCTCCAAAATAACCAGAGCAAAATGGGCTGGAGGCATAGCTCAAGAGACAGAGTGCACCCACCTACCAAGTGTAGTGCCGAGTTGAAGCCACAGCACTGCCAAAAAGAAAAGGTTTTAGTCATCAGCACTTGAGACAAGAGAGTAAATCACCTGCGTCCAGCACACATAAAAAGAAAATGTACCCATATGTTTTAATATTTAAAACAATAAAATGTATACTGAGAATTCTTACTTCCAATCATGCTTTCTGCATTTTATTTTTTTCAAACTTTTTTTTTTGTGGTACTGGGGTTTGAACTCAGGGCTTTGCACTTGCAAGGCAGATGCTCTCCAGCTTGAGCCAACCTCCAGCCCTACCTTGGCCTCTGGAGTACTAGGATGACAAACTGTACCACTATGCCTGGCTTGGAATAAGTTTTTTTTTTTTAAATTACATTAGATTTGTACACTAAAGGCTGTAAAGTATAGTTGAAAGATTTAACAGCTAAATAAATGGAGCTGGTGGTGTAACTCAGTGATAGAGCACTTGTCTGGCAACATGCACAGTGCCATGTTCAATCTCCAGTAGTGAAAAAGAAAAGTGCTATGACATCCCATGTTCGTGGATCGGAAGATTTAATATTGTTAAAAAGGTAGTACTCCCTGACTTGATCTAAAATCCTATCCCTATCAAAATTCTACCTTCCAGCTGTGTGCAGTGGCTCATGGCTGTAATCCCAGCTACTCAGGAGGCAGAGATCAGGAGAATCACAGTTGTGACCAGCCCTGTCAAAAAGTTCGTGACACCTCATCTCAGTCAGTAAAAGCTGGGCCTGGTGGTACATGCCATTCATCCCAGATAGGCAGGAAGCATAAATAGGATTGTAGTCCAAACTAGCATAGCATAAATGCAAGACTCTATCTCAAAAATAACCAAAGCAAAAAGGGCTGGGAGAGTGGCTCAAGTGGTAGAAAGCCTGCTTAGCAAGTACAAAACTCTGAGCTCAAACTCCAGAACCTGTAAAAATAAATAAATAAAATAATATCTGTGATGTCAGAAAACAAATTGATTTATATTCCCAGTACTTAATACAGTGCAAGTATTCGTAAATAACACTGTTTTCCCAGGCGTGTTCATTATAACAGTGCTATTCCCTTTCTTAGAGATTTTATGCACAGAAGATTTTGAATATTAGTAATATTGCTATGCTCTTATCCTCAAAGAATTTATAGTCTAGTTAGATAGCCACAAAGTAAAAACATGTAACTTTGTAAAATAATAAAAAGGAAATGGTCAGTGTAAATCAGAAGGTTAAATGTTGACATGTTGCTTTCAATTCAGAGCAGGGCAAGCGAATACTGGATGTTCGTCTGTGAACGAAGACTTCTTAAGTGAAAAATAATTTTCAGCTAGACCTTGAAAGACAAGAAAAGCTGGGGAAGCCAGGCTCAGGTGGCTCACACTTGTAATCCTAGCTACTCAGAAGGCCAAGATCAGGAAGATCATAGTTCGAAGCCAGCCTGGGCAAATAGTTCAGGAGCCCCTCTCTCACAAATACCCAACACAAAACAGGGCTGTGGAATGGCTCAAGTAGTAGAATGCCTGCCTAGCAGACACGAGGCCCTAAGTTCAAACCCCAGTGCCACAAAAAATAAAATAAAATAAAAGCTGGGGAACCTGGGTAGAGGAAAAAGGGACCTGTTAAGTTCTATTGTACAGTAGTTGTTAGGCCCGTTTCATCTGTATTGTTAATAAGTGGAAATAGTAGTTCAGATTCTTCATGTCATTTCCTCCTCTCCCATGAGTTTAATGAATTTTCACTGTAAATAACTATTTCTAAATTCACATTGTTCCTTTTTTCTTACCACATTGTTTCTAAAAGATGAACACGTCTTTCTGAAATGTACTTTTTTAACATGTACGGAGATAAGATGACAGTGCTTTTCATTTTGTTTACTGCTACTTCTGGTTATTTGTCATAGTTGACTTGAAGCAAAGAGCAGTTTCTTCTTAGGTTCTTCCTTTTTTTGGCGGGGGCGGGGAGGTGGAGTAGGGTCTTCTTAGGTTCTTATGAAGCCCAAGCTGACCTTACACTTGTGATGCTCTTGCTTTGGTCTGCAAAGTGCTAGGATTAAGGCATATGCCACTACACCCAGCTAAGGTTCATTTTTTTTGGTCAAGTAGAAATAATATTGACTGCCTTTCCAATCTTACAGATTTGTCAACTTGAAATATGACCAAAAATGAGATAGTAAGATAAAACAACTTATTTGAGCCGAGATTTGCAGAGGCATGTATAATTTGCTCCCTATTTGCCAATGCCTTTAAAAACATTATTATTCCCCTTTTATGGATGAGGAAACTGGCACAGGAAAGTCGTGTATCCTCTCCAGAGTTACATATCTACTACTTATAGAACTGGAAATAGAATCTACACAGTAAGATTTTGGACAATCCACTTTACTCAGCTGCTTCAAATCTGGCTCTGATACTGTGGTCTTAAACATTATACTGTCATTGCATTGTCTCTGAAAAGATTTGGAAGCACAGAATTGTATAAGATTTACTTTGTAAACATGAATTTCTTACCCTGATTAGATTTGATTCATTTATTCCATTCATCAAACACCTGTTTACTGAGTATTTTCTATGATACAGACACTGTGATGGATGCTGAGATTTGGAGAAGAATGTACTTAACCCTTGACTTGGTGGGTTTTATATTCTAGCAGAAGAGACAGGACAGGTGCTAACTAATGATTGATGCAATGGTGGAAACTGGGCATGATAGAGGATACGTGTAATCCCAGCACTTGGGAGGCTGAGGCAGAAAGATCAATGTGTTCAGCCTGGATAACAAAATGAGACCCTATCTCAAAAAAAAGAAAAAGAAAAAAATTCGAATTTTGGTGAATGCTACAAAGGAGGAATTTGAGTGTTTGGTAGGGATCCAAATGATGTGGTCTTAGAAGTTAGAAAGGATTTTATGAGAAAATGACTTTTTAGCTGAGTCTTGTTTTCTTTGGGGGTGGCGGGCGGTGGACAGGCTCTGGGGTTTAAACACAGCCTCCTGCTTGCTATGCAGACACTCTTACTGCTTGAGCCACTCTACCAGCCCTTTTTGGTGATGGGTTTTTTTTCAAGATAGAGTCTCACAAAGTATTTGCTTAGGCTGGCCTCGAACCATGATCTTCGAAATCTCAGCCTCCCAAGGAGCTAGGATACAGGTGTGAGCCACTGGCTCCTGGGTAGCTTTTTTTGAAGGAAGCTTTTCTGCACACATGTGAGAATATGACTAAATTTAGAGACTCTGAACCTCTTCCTGGACCTAGAGATCACTCTGGAGAAGTTGAACTGTTTATCACATTTGCCATGATAATATAACATATTTGTCCTGAGATTATCCCTGTTTTATACATTTAGTGCCCGGGGTAATCAATAATTTGTAATGCCAACAGTGTCATGAAATACTGTGTTCTTTACATTTTAAGGCAGAAGTGATAAATGAGAAAGAATCTTTTAAAGGTTCAATTGACCTGTTTTATACTCTTTTTTTTTTTTTTTTTTTGTCTAGCATAGAAAAAGAAAATTTGCAGCAGAAAATTTGTCTGGTTTTTCCCAGTTATTAAAAATATTTCTTTAAATGTGTAAATGAAAATGATGTGTTTTTAAAGAGGCTTTTAATTTTTAAAAACTCATAAAGCAGGTGTGGTAACACCCATGCCTATGGAGAGTCTGAGATGAGAGAATCACTTGGATGAATCATAGGCATTCAAGATCAGCTTGAGCAACATAGTAAGACCCCATCTTGAAAACAAAAACCCATTTATACACTATTTTTCCATAATCCTATGAAAAAAATGTTAGTATAGCATTTGTATTTAAAACAGTTCTGAACTGGCCTTCTTTAGCCCTACTAAAAGTAAGAGGTAAACCATGTAGTTTATCTTAAATTAGGTTGACCTCAACAAAATTGGGGGAAATGAAAAGAAAAAGAAAGGAAAAAAACAGGGAATGGTGGTGACTCAGAAAGCTAGACAGAAGTGCAAGTTGTAGGCCTGCCTGGGCAACTTAGTGAGTCCCAAACTCAAAAAATTTTGGAAAAGTGTGTGTTGGGGGGGAGACAGGGCATGGAGGCTGGGAATATAGACTCAGTGGTAGAATGTTTGCAAGTATACATGAGGCCCTGGGTTCAATCCCTAATACTGAAGAAAAAAATAAGATGGTGTTACACATGGAGATAATCTAAGCTTCCTATGCAAAATTTGACTTATTGGTAGCAATGTTCATGAGTAATTTTTTAAAAAATGTTTTTATCTGTATTAAGAATGTAGTAGAACTTCTTTATAAACATCTATTCCCTTCTCATTTTAATAATTTTGTATATGAAATATTCATGCCACAAAGCTCAGCCATAGTCAATACAAGAAAATTACATACTTCTAAATCTTGTCAACTATTAAAAGCAGAAAATGTTATAAAGAAGTTTCATGTTACATAACAAAGTTTACAGGAAAAGTCACCAATTTCTTTTTAACTTAGTCATCTCATTTTTGATAGATTGCAAAGGTCGACTGCAAGGAAGTACTAGACATCATTTGTAATCTGGAATCTGAGGGTCAGGATAACACAGCATTTGTTCTTTGTACGACTTACCTTACCCAGCAGCTCCAAACTGCAAGTGTATATTGTTCTTGGTAAGTATATTTAGTTTATATGTTTCTTTATTTGTAGTGTTTAGTTTAGCATTTAGGGTTTAGCAAATTAAATGATGACATGTGAATAAAGTCTTGTTTTCAGGCAAAATTGTTGAAATAAAAAAACCCATTGGTTTAATTTAGTCAAGAAAGGGTATAAAGTTTCCTTTGACGGTTCCATCGGTGGTTGTCTATTGACTCTAATATATGTCTCCTACCTTGAAGATAAAATGATATTGATATGAAACAAATAGGTATTAGAGTATTTTCCTTTACATTTATTATTGTATCTTCACTTAATCATTTGCTCCTGTTGTTTGGAAACCCACTAATGAAAAGGATCAAATTATTTAGGTTTCTAGGTCAAATTTGCATTAGAAAAGGAAATCCCTTTGAGTCCTGTGTCTTTTGCAACTTTGATACTGAATAGCTGAATTGCATCATTGTCGTTTTAATTCAGTTTTATGTTTTATTTTCCTATACAGTACTTAGTTGCTTTAAAAAAAAAAAACGAAGAAGAAGAAGCAGTTAAGCATATACATGGTTCTTTAATTATAACTGTATTGGATCTATTTAGGCCAGTGGGACAAACCTGATACAAAGGAAACCTCTTAAATATAAGACTCTGGTCAGTAAGTGTCAGATGAGTGGCATGGATATAACGCTGTAGGAGATTAGAGAAAGGTGCTCACTGTACACCAGAGTATTTAAGAGAGGTACCAAGGAAAAACTAATACAAATGGGTTGAATTTTCATAGTCTTGTTTAGGGAAGCTCTGAGTATTTATGAAATTAAAAATGACTTAAAGTTGGAAACAGCATTTTCTTTAATTAAAGCCATTCATGTACTTCATCATTGCATAGATGAGGCAGTAGAAGATTGTAGTGATCAGAGAAATCTTGTGATTGCCCAGAGTCTCAAAACTAAAGTAGTAGTGCAACAGTTTTTTCCTCTTCTTAATCTAATGTTTCTCTTCTGAATGTTTATTTTCTTGACACAAGCTAACTATAGTCTTGTGCCACCAAGTCCATTGTACCATAGTTAGATCTTCTATGAGAATGGACATGGTGGGTTAAGGTTTTAATATATCTTAGCATAATCATTGTGGCATTGTTTGCATTTTGTTAGGAAAGCAAAAAAAAAGTGATACAAATGAAATCAGTTGTTAAATATGTGATCAAATATTTGATCACAAATCAAGTAGAAGAGTTTTCTTTTTTTATTATCAGAAATAGAGATTTTAACTTCAGAACATATACATTTAGTTCAGGATCAAATCCCAACTTTGCTTGTTGTAGTTAAATTGATTTCATTGTAAATAATGGAAAAACATCTAGTTATAGCTAGATTTTCAAAATAAATAATGAATAAAATCATATATGGGATATGTTGTAGAGTATAAGTATGTTTTGTTATTTTGGTGAGACTGGATTTGAACTCGTGCTAGTAAGGCAGGTGCTCTACAACTTGCCACACCTCCAGCCCTATAAGTAGATTTTAAAATACATTCACACAGTTTAATATTCCTGACACGGGCTTCCCTTTTACAGCCACCCTGTGTGCTTTTCCAAAGATGTTCGTAACTCTGGGATTAATGCTATTTCCCTGAAGCAGGAAGGGATTAATAAGGATTTCCCTCTTGTCTCTGAAGAGCTATAATAAGTAAAGGAAAGAAAATCTTAGTCACTTTACACTTTGTTAAAAGTAAGTTTCTTCTATGCAATTCAAAGAGAAATAGAAACTAACTTAGGCTTTTTTTGGGGGGTAGGGGGGAGAGGATGTAGGGTAATAATGAGGGAAGAATAGCCATCACATAAAACAGTTTATGAATTTTACTAGAGAAAGTTTATCTCAGGAATTCTGTTCAAATAGAATAGCTTTTTTTATTATGTTGAAGGTTTTCTGTGTTTAAGATAGCGAGACATAAGGAATACCTGTTTAGAAAATATTTTTTATTACGTGATATTTTTGCTAAGAGTAAAAGCAAGATTTTTAAAAATATGACAGTTGAAATAAGAGTCACAGTTTTTTTTAAACATGTATCATAGGATTTCTTGGAAGTATCCATTTTGAATTTTATCACCATGGAAGACAATATTTGAATTGTAGACTCTGCAGCTATCACTTCAGAAGAGATTTTACCCTTTGAGAAATTTTCTTCTGAGACATTTACAAACCATAATAAAAACATTTTAGAACTTTACAGCAGTTACCATATTTTCATTCTTTTTTTTTTTTCAGCACTGGGATTTGAACTCAGGGCCTCATGCTTGCTAGGCAGGCACCATATTTTCATTCTTAAAAGGTTTACCACTCACACTGGAGGCTTGGCTTAAGCAGTAGAGTGCCTGCCTAGCAAGCACCAAGCCCTGGATTCAAACTCCAGTACCACAAAAAAAAAAAAAAAAAGTATGTCATTTTGCTTAGTCATTAACTTTGGCCCCATTGGATTTTTGACTGTCTGAAAAAAAATCAAATATTACAGAGTGAGCATCCTGTAGATGTCTGGCAATGTTAATATAATTAGAATAGCCATGCAAATAAAAAGATAACCATTTTGATTGAATTGATATATATAAAGATTACTGTTGCTACTTTGAAAATAAAATCATACAGCTAAGCCTTGAAAATCTCCACAATAAGCTACACTGTGAGCTGCTCCACCAGCCCTTTTTTGTGTTAGGATTTTCGAGATACGGTCTTGCACGTTGTGTTTCTTAAGATACATTTACGTGTCTGTTTTACCCCAACTGGACTATGATGTACCAGGGTCATAAATATTGTTTAGTTCACAGTTGCGTCCTTCACACCATAATATATATATATATATATATATATATATATATATATATATATATGAACATACATATTTTATTTAACTGAATTATAGGAAAAAAGAAGTTATGAGAATTGCAAAGGCTACTATTGTAGCTGTCTTCCTTGGGGTATGATCATTCCTTAATTCCACAAAATTTTCTTTATTTCAGTAAAATTTGTAAATTCTGGATTTCAGTGTGACAAGTTAACTGGACTTTATGGATCTCTTGTTCTACAGGAATATAATTTTTTTGTTTGTAATTTTTATTTTATTCAAATGTGCATACAATGTTTGGGTCATTTCTTCCCCCCTTCCCCCTCCTTCTTCCCTCGCTACCCCCTCACTACCCGGCAGAAACTATTTTGCCCTTATCTCTAATTTTGTTGAAGAGAGAGTATAAGCAATAATAGGAAGGACCAAGTGTTTTTGCCAGTTGAGATAAGGATAGCTATACGGGGAGTTGACTCGCATTGATTTCCCATGCATTTGTGTTACCTTCTAAATTAATTGTTCTGGAGCTAACCTGTTCTCTAGTTCCTGGTCCCCTTCTCCTATTGGCCTCAGTTGCTTTAAAGTATCTGCTTTAGTTTTTCTGTGTTGAGGACAACAAATGCTATCTAGTTTTTTGGGTGTCTTACCTATATTCATACCTCCCTTGTATGCTCTCGATTTATCATGTGATCAAAGTCCAGTCCCCTTCTTGTGTTTGCCCTTGATCTAATGTCCGCATATGAGGGAGAACATACGAGTTTTGGTCTTTTGGGCCAGGTTAACCTCACTCAGAATGATGTTCTCCAATTCCATCCATTTACCAGCGAATGATAACATTTCATTCTTCTTCATGGCTGCATAAAATTCCATTGTGTATAGATACCACATTTTCTTAATCCATTCGTCAGTAGTGGGGCATCTTGGCTGTTTCCATAACTTGGCTATTTGTGAATAGTGCCACAATAAACATGGGTGTGCAGGTGCCTCTGGAGTAACCAGTGTCACAGTCTTTTGGGTATATCCCCAAGAGTGGTATTGCTGGATCATATGGTAGATCAATGTTTAGCTTTTTAAGTAGCCTCCAAATTTTTTTCCAGAGGTGGTTGTACTAGTTTACATTCCCACCAGCAGTGTAGGAGGGTTCCTTTTTCCCCATATGCTCGCCAACACCTGTTGTTGGCGGTGTTGCTAATGATGGCTATTCTAACAGGGGTGAGGTGGAATCTTAGTGTGGTTTTAATTTGCATTTCCTTTATTGCTAGAGATGGTGAGCATTTTTTCATGTGTTTTTTGGCCATTTGAATTTCTTCTTTTGAGAAAGTTCTGTTTAGTTCACTTGTCCATTTCTTTATTGGTTCATTAGTTTTGGGAGAATTTAGTTTTTTAAGTTCCCTATATATTCTGGTTATCAGTCCTTTGTCTGATGTGTAGCTGGCAAATATTTTCTCTTACTCTGTGGGTGTTCTCTTCAGTTTAGAGACCATTTCTTTTGTTGAGCAGAAGCTTTTTAGTTTTATGAAGTCCCATTTATCTATGCTATCTCTTAGTTGTTGTGCTACTGGGGTTCCATTGAGGAAGTTTTTGGCTATACCTATTAAGGGAATATAGTTGTTTAAAGTTCTTGTTTGGCAGCTAAAATCTTTGCCAAATTATATTTCCTACTATTAATACAATTAAATTGCCTTTCTAATTTTTATAAATTTGTGTATAATTTGTTAACTTGAACTAGGTAGTGGCCAATTTGAAGATGCAGTTGATCATCTGAACATTGGAAGCATGCATACAATAAAGTTATTTTTAGTATGTTTTTAATAGGTTGTCCATTTTTTAAAATCTCACCATTGTAGTAGTAGAAGAAAGGTTTGTCCTAGTGTGGGTACGATCCAGCAGGCTGTTAATTGCTATTGGTTGGTGATTTCAGTGTTCCATTATGCAGATTTCAGTGGATAATTGAAGTGACCAATCTTGGCATTCTCTTAAGTAATGTACTAGTTGTCATGGTTTGAGACATATTTATGTGATTAGGTGGGTAATTGTAGTTTTAAATCATTTATTTGGAATGTAAAATATTTAAACATGAAACATAAAATGATCATGCTTTTTTGGACTTAAGATATGTGGAACTGGGCAGGGAATGTAGCTGAATGATAGAGCTCCTGCCTAGCATGATGGGGCTATATCTAGCCCAAAGTATTTAATAATTAATGCAGAATAAATGAAGCCCTAGATGTTCTGACTTATTATTTTAAAAATTATTTGAGAGGCCTAAATTCTCAACCTGTCTTTTATTACTTTAGCAGATTTGGCCTAACCTTAAACTTGTAGCTAGAGATATTTTGTTTTGTGTTTTTGAGACAGGGTCTCACTCTGTAGCCCAGACTGTCCTCAAAACTGTGACCATTCTGCCTCAGACTCAGATGCTGGGGTCACAGGCATGTGCCACCCATACCTGCCTGCAGGTAGTGAATTTTAGATAATTGACATTGTTTACACTTTTATTTTCAGAGTCACATTTAACTGATAATTTTGCTGTTCAAATAGGATACACAAACAGTGCATGTGCACGCACACACTGAGGATCTTGGTGTAGCACTCAGGGCCTTGCATGTACTAGGCAAGTGTTCTACCACTGTGTTACTTCCCCTCCTCACATATATTTTGGCTGATACTCCTTTTTGGTTTTGACCATATGCAATTCATCTTTAGAAATTTGCACCGTTATTTTAAAAGCTTCTCTTATTTAAGATGCTTAAATCTGAGACTGGGCACAGTGGCTCACAGTTGTAATCCTGGCTACTGGGGAAGCCATAGGTAAGAGGGTCACAAAGGCCAGCTTTCAGCAAAAACACAAGACCCTAACCAAAACGTAACCAAAGCATAAAAGGTCTGGATACATGGTTCAAGTGGTAGAGTGTGTTCCTTGAGAAATATGAGCCCTGCTGGTGGAGTGGCTCCAGTGTAGAGGGCCTGCCTAGCAAGCATGAGGCCCTGAGTTTAAACCCTAGTACCACCAAAAGAAAAAAAAAAAAAGAAGTACCACCAGCCCTAAGTTCAAAGCCCAGTACTTGGTGGTGGGAGGAAAAGGGGGGACACTTAAATCTGAGTAAAGCAATCTTGTGAGTGTGAAAATGAATAGTCATCCCAGCTTGCCTGATTGATGGCTGTTTCCACAGTTGTCCTGTCTAAATTTTTACACCTGGTTAGGAGAGCAGCACTAATTAAATAAATACAACTATTTAAAGCCAATTTAAATTAATTTTATTCATTATAGCTCAAATTCTCTATCATTAGCTATTATAAGCTTTAATCATAAATCTTCTGAGATAATACACATTCATTTCAATCTTTAAAGCAGGTTTTATTCCTACTTGAAAATTTCACCTTTTGCCAGGTGCCTGTGTCTCGTGCATGTAATTCTAGCTACTCAGGAGGCATGAATCAGGAAGATCTTAATTCCAAGCCAGCCTGGGCAAACATTTTGTGAGACCTTATCTCAAGAATAATCAACACAAAAACAGAGCTGTGAGAGTGGCTCAAGTAGTAGAGCACCTACCTCACAAGTGAGAGGATAATTTCAAACCCCAGTAGCACAAAAAAAAAAAAAAAAAAAAAAAATCACCTTTTATAGCCCCAGGCAACCTCTTAAACAGAAAAACCAGGTGCCAGTGGCTCACATTTGCAATCCTAGCTACTCAGGAGGTAAGATCAGGAAGATTGAGGTTGGAAGCCAGCCGGGAATAGACCCTATCTCAAAAAAACCCAACACAAAAAAGGGCTAGTGGAGTGGCTCAAGGTGTAGGCCCTGAGTTTAAGCCCCAGTACCAAAAGAAAAGAAAAAGAAAAAAACGAGAAAGACAGGCCAAGTGGCTTGTTAGAATACTAACCTCACAAGGTCCTGATTTCACCCTCCCCCACAGCAAAAAAAAAAAAAAAAAACACAGAGACACACACACAAAATACATAAGAGCTAGGTGCCAGCGGCTCATACCTATAATTCTAGGTACTTTAGAGGAAGTGATTAAGAGGATCAGCCTGGGCAAATAGTTCACAAGACCCTATTCCAAAAATACACAACAAAGTAAGGGCTGGTGGAGTGGCTCAAGTGGTAGAGCATCTGCCTAGCAAGCATGAGGCCCTGAGTTCAAGCCCCAGTACCTCCAAAGAAAAAAGAAAGAAAAATATAAGGAAGTAAATTCTGTTAAATATGTTATTTTCAGTCTGTTGTAAAAATGTTTCTCAGCTGGGGGTTGTGGGTCAGTGGTCGAGCAGTTGGCTAGTGTGTATAGAAGCCTTAGTTTTAATCTCTGGCACACGTACACAAAAAAAATAGATTTTTTTTTCTTCTTTAAGCTTTGGATTTATATTTTGCTTCCTAGAATAACAGGAATAAGTATACAGTGTTTTAAAACTGACATAAAAATGTGTGTTTCTTATAAAAAATACTTATATTCAGTTATCTATTGAGGTTATACATCAAAGAGCCACATTTTTTCTTCAAGTAATACTGTTCTATTTTGCTATTAGCTTTCCTTGGATTCACATTTCACATTAACATTAGCATATCTCTCCTTGGTGTTTTGAGTTTCTAGTGCTATTGCTTGAGCGCTTTTCTCTTACACATTAAATATTTTTATTTAATTTATTTCTCTCAAGCTTTTCTTTGTCTCCATAATTAATATTTGTGAGAGCCTATATTTTAACCATTTCCAAGAATGCCATTTTACTTTTTTTGGTGAAATTTAAGCATTCCAAGAAACTTGAAGTAGCATCATGACAGTTCAGGCTCGTAAGATCAGTGTATAGAAGTATGCCATTATAAGACCTATTAGCTGTACAGATTTCCTTGGTGGTGTAGTGATACCTGATCTTCCATGCCAGCAGAACAGGGTTTCATTTAGTTCATATAATTAATTAGCAGTGTAAGGAATAAAACCTTTTCAAATAAGATAGGATCTAAATAAGGTTTTTTAAAAATATCATCATAAAGGAAGTACAGTCATTTTTTGTTTTTATTTTTCCCCATACACAAAGAAGAAAGAAATTAGAATTTTCAGGGAGCTTTTCTTCAAAATGTTATCAGTTTGAGAGAAAGCAGCAGTGAATGTAGACAGCTTTTCATCTAGTTTTTGTTGCCTCTATCGTCAACTTACCTTCATTAACCAAAAAACCAAGATTGTCAGAAGTATAAGCAGCAAATACCAGTTGTTTTAAATGTTTTAACATAATCTATTTTCTTTATAGGGAGCTGACTCTTTTTTGGAGTAAACTGCAAAGAAGAATTGACCCTTCTTTAGATACTTTTTTGGAGCGCTGTCGTCAGTTTGGTGTCATAGCTAAAACACAGCAGCATTTGTTTTGCCTGATTAGAGTTATACAAACTGAAGTGAGTAATTTTTACTTTCTATGCTGATTGTGGCTGTAGAGAAGATATGGGTGAGATGATAACAGGCAATTCCTGGTGGCCATAAGAAAAATTCTGAACAGTGGAGTTTAATAAAATTACGGAATTGGCAATATAACTCTTTCTACAGATTGCCTCCTTAGGAATCAACAGGTTTTTATTTTTGTTTGGAGACTGGGCTCAAACTCATTAACCTCCTGCCTCATCCTTCTGAGTACTGGGATTATAGATGTATACAAGAAGTCACACAGCCTTAAGATGGATCAGGTTATTGGCACTAAAGAGCCTGTGTGGGTATGTGGCCTCTAGCAAGAGCCAATAGTGTACAGTGGAAAGGCCTTTGGAATATAGCTTTTTTCTTTCTTTTTAAACTAACCTTCAGTTTTTGGTAAATAAAGAGTTTAAACCAGATTATCACTTAACTATGCTTACTTATTAAACTTTGAATCTGTGACCTGAGAAAGATAAAAGTGGAAGAGTTGACTTTTGAAAATCCAGGTTATAGCTCAAGACCTTAAAAAAAAAAAAAATTAGCCAGGCGCTGGTAGCTTATGCCTGTAATCCTAGCTACTCAGGAAACAGAGATGAAGAGGATCTCAGTTCGAAGCCAGCCCCCAGCAAATAGCTCATGAGACCCTTTCTTGAAAATGCCCATCACAAAAAAGGGCTGGTGGAGTGGTGCAAGCATTAAGAGCACCTGCCTTGGAAGCATGAGGCCCAGAGTTCAAATCCCAGTACTGCAAAAAAAAAAAAAAAATCAGTGTGGAAAAATCAATGTAGATGTGGTTGTATTTTAAGGTAGAAGGTATAAGGAGGAAGATCATCTTGAATCCATTTTATATGCCATAGTCTCCTTTTTACTGGAACCTATGGATGGTGCTACTGTTTTGGAAAGCACGGCTTTGTCTAGTTTATCCCTTCTCCTTAGTAATAAACAATTTGAAAATTAGAGATATGTGAATTGTAAGGATTATATATACCTAGTTTGCAGCAGTTTGGCTAGATTTTTGGTCTCTTGGTTTAAAAGAACAATGTGATACAAAATCGTCACTTATAAATAAGAGCACAGAGGACATGGAGAATGTCAGGTAAATTTTAAGATAATTCATGCATTATCCATAAGTTCTTGTTATTTAATTCCTCTTGGAAGACTGAGGCAGACTACAGCAAATGTCCATTCTTTCTTAAGCAGCCTAATCCAGTTGAGATGATAAAATCTATAAAATTACTAACACTTTTCAAAGAAAACTAGAAAAACCATTACACATAATGAGTAGATTACTGGCTAAAGGAGTGGTGAATATAAATTAATATGAGGATATAAAATGTGTAGCTGAAATTTGAAGAAATTGGCCAGTTGGCATATTATACAAAGGGCACATAGGAAATAGCCAAGCCATTTAAGATTGGAATCAGTATAAGATGTAATGTAGTTAAGACTTCAGGCTCTGGAAATACATTGCTTAAGGTTTATATCTTTGTTTCTCTGTTCACTAGCTGATGACATGGGACAGCTTAACCTCCTGAGCCTTGGTTTTTTAATCTCTGAAATGAGGACAATATATGCCAAAAAGTTTATTTAGAATAAGTGCCCTAAGACATATTAAGGGTTCTTCAAGCAATTATTTCTTTATGTTCACAGTACACAGAATAATTGCTTAGCAATAAATTGTTTCCTGGGTTGAATAGTGGGATTTACTCTGAGTTGTTTTACATGGTATTCTCTTGGGTATTTATTATGTGCCAGCATTGTAGCAATCACTTTATATTATTTCATTTTTATAGCAACCTTAAGAGAAAAACTGAATACTACCACCCAGTGAACTGGGCTGGGTGCCCGTGACTTACACCTGTAATCCTAGCTACATGAAAAGCTAAGATCAGGAAGATCATGGTTGGAGGCCATCCTGGGAAAAAAAGTTGTGAGACCCTTATCTCAACAGTAAAAAGCTGGGTGTGGTGGCATGTGTCTGTCATCCCAGCAGTGACAGGAAGCTTAAAATACAAGGGTGTGATCGAAGAGGGAAATACCAGAGCAAAAAGGCCTAGCAGCATGGCTTAAGTAGTAGAGCACCTGCCTAGCAAGTATAAATCCCTGAGTTGAAACCAGAGAGAGAGACTGAAACTGAGTTTTACTGTAAACTCTATGTTCTTGCCAGGCGCTGGTGGCACTCCTAGCTACTCAGGAGGCAGAGATCAGGAGGATCATGGTTCAAAGCCAGCCTGGGCAAATAGTTATAAGACTCTATCTCAAAAAAACTCATCACAAAAAAGGGCTGGCAGAGTGGCTTAAGGTGTAGGCCCTGAGTTCAAGCCCCAGCACTGCAAAAAACAACAACAAAAACAACTGTATGCTCTTGGCCAGTGTTTTAAGCCATATGATCCTGCTTTCCTTTGCTTGTCCTATTTTCACATTTCATTTCAGCCTCTCAGATAAAGAATTATCTTGTACATACTTATCTTTTATCACATATGACCATGTCTTCTTCCTGATTTTTAACTAGTTTCTGAGAATCTGTTGTTTTAGAGAGATTTTTAAATTTCTATTATTCTTTGGAAAGCTGGCATTTGGTACACCTGCAACTATAAAGTACTAAATTCTTTTGGGAGGAAATAGAGAAGGATCATGGGGTTTTGTGGGGAAAAAAGTATTTTTTTGCACATGGAGTTCCTTAAATTGGATTCAATTTTAGACTCACTTCTACACCTGTGTTTCCTCTTTCCCTATTTATTTAAACCCTGTCTTTATTTTGTTTTAATTAATTAATTTTTTTTTTGAGGCAGCATCTTATGATATAGCCCAGGCTGGCCTCAAACGTGCAGTCCTCCTTATCTTCCCAAGTGCAGGTATTACAGCTGAGCACCAACACACCCAACTTTAAACACTGTCCTTCTTACCTGGCTTACCACTCTTTGAATCCTTCAGTGACTTTATTTATCCTATAATCCTTTGGATTCATAGGCATTATTGCTTACATATTGTGACAGATTGGTGAATTCCTTTAGGGTTAGGAACTGCTTAATATGCTGCCTTATAAAGGTGGATACTATATAAATACACATTGTTGTTAATATTGTAGACTAATCCAGTCTTTTGCATGTTGAGATAAGAAGGATCTAAATGTAACTTGCATGAAGAAATATTTAAGAACTCCTAAAGTGTTTGTTTGTTTGTTTTTATTTAGGTTGGTGTGTTTGCTTTGGTTTTTTAGTTTGTACTGGGGGAGGGAGGTGAAGTCATGGCCTCAAACTTTCTAAGCAGGTGTGCTATTTTTGTTTGTTTCTGAGACAGAGTCTCACTATATAGTCCAGGCTGCCCTCAGTCTTGCAACCCTCTTACTTTAGCTTCTGGAGGTCTGGGGTTATGGGCATGTTCTTAGAGCTCTGGAGAAATGAAAATAACTTATCAATGGAAGTTAATGTAATCTTTACATATGCAAAAATGACTTGGTTTTCCTTTTTTTCTTTTTTTTTTTTACAGGCACAAGATGCTGGTCTTGGGGTATCAATTCTGCTGTGTGTCAGAGCTCTTCAACTAAGATCAAGTGAAGATGAAGAAATGAAGGCATCAGTCTGTAAAACAATTTCCTGTCTTTTACCAGAAGATTTAGAAGTTAGACGAGCCTGTCAACTTACAGAATTCTTAATTGAACCCAGTTTGGATGGATTTAATATGTTGGAAGAACTGTATTTGCAACCAGATCAAAAATTTGATGAAGAAAATGCACCAGTTCCAAATTCTCTCCGATGTGAGCTCTTGTTAGCTTTAAAAGCCCACTGGCCTTTTGATCCTGAATTTTGGGACTGGAAAACTTTAAAACGACACTGCCACCAACTCCTAGGACAAGAAGCCTCCGATTCTGATGATGATTTAAGTGGCTATGAAATGTCTATTAATGACACCGATGTTTTAGAGTCATTTCTCAGTGACTATGATGAAGGTAAAGAAGATAAACAATACAGAAGAAGAGATTTGGCAGATCAGCATAAGGAGAAAAGAGACAAAAAGCCCATTGGTTCTTCTGAAAGATACCAGAGGTGGCTTCAGTATAAGTTTTTCTGTTTATTATGTAAACGGGAATGTATAGAGGCCAGGATTCTTCATCATTCTAAGATGCATATGGAAGATGGAATTTATACCTGTCCAGTTTGTATTAAAAAGTTCAAGAGAAAAGAAATATTTGTTCCTCATGTGATGGAACATGTTAAGATGCCACCAAGCAGAAGGGACCGCTCTAGAAAGAAATTACTGTTAAAAGGCTCTCAAAAGGGTATTTGTCCTAAGAGCCCCTCTGCAGCCTTGGAACAAAATCAGTCATTGAGTGAACAAGCCAAAGGAGAATCTCATGAATATGTCACATTCAGCAAATTAGAAGATTGCCACCTGCAGGACAGAGATTTGTACCCATGTCCTGGTACAGACTGTTCCCGTGTGTTTAAACAATTTAAATACTTAAGTGTGCATCTTAAAGCTGAACACCAAAATAATGATGAAAATGCCAAGCACTACTTGGATATGAAAAATAGAAGAGAAAAGTGTACTTATTGTCGGCGACATTTCATGTCTGCTTTTCACCTGCGAGAACATGAACAAGTGCATTGTGGTCCTCAGCCTTACATGTGTGTATCTATAGATTGCTATGCTAGGTTTGGATCAGTGAATGAACTACTTAATCATAAACAAAAACATGATGATCTTCGTTATAAATGTGAATTAAATGGCTGTAATATTGTTTTCAGTGACTTGGGACAGCTTTACCACCATGAAGCACAACATTTTAGGGATGCATCCTATACATGCAACTTTCTTGGCTGTAAAAAGTTCTATTATTCCAAAATTGAATACCAGAACCACCTCTCAATGCATAATGTTGAAAGTTCAGATGGAGGCATAAAGAAATCTGTGAAACTTGAGGAGCTTGCAGCAGGAGAAAAGCAAGATTGTGTTGATCAGTCCCATCTACTTGACCAAACTGATAAGTCACATTTACCCGAGGATCTTTTCTGTGCAGGAACTGCTGGCTCTCAAATAGATGCTGCAGAAAATCTGAAAGAAAACAGTGACAGTAATTCTAGTGATCAGTTAAGTCATAGCTCTTCAGCTTCAATGAATGAAGAGTTAATTGACCCACTAGATCACTCCGAAACCATGCAGGATATATTATTATCTCATGAGAAAGTTTTTGTGTCCTCAAGTTTAAAAGAAAAATGTTCCAATATGGCAGTTTGTTTTGATGGGACTAAGTTTACCTGTGGTTTTGATGGCTGTGGTTCCACATACAAAAATGCAAGGGGGATGCAGAAGCATTTACGGAAGGTGCATCCATACCATTTCAAACCCAAGAAGATAAAGACGAAAGACCTTTTCCCCTGTTTGGGTAATGAACACAATCAGACAACTGACAAGTTTGATGCAGAACCTAAGCCCAGCTCAGATACAAACAGTGACTCTCCAGATGAAGGTCTAGATCACAATATTCATACTAAATGTAAGCGAGAACATCAAGGTTATTCCTCAGAAGCCTCCATTTGTGCTTCTAAAAGGCCATGTACAGAGGATACTATGTTGGAACTTCTGTTACGCTTGAAACATTTAAGCTTGAAAAACTCAATAGCACATGGATCTTTCTCAGGGTCATTGCAGGGGTACCCATCCAGTGGTGCTAAGTCTCTTCAGTCTGTTTCATCTATCTCAGACCTTAATTTTCAGAATCAAGATGAAAATATGCCAAGTCAGTACCTTGCACAATTGGCTGCTAAGCCTTTTTTCTGTGAGCTTCAAGGATGCAAGTATGAATTTGTGACCAGAGAGGCTTTGTTAATGCATTACCTTAAAAAGCATAATTACTCGAAAGAAAAAGTCCTTCAGTTAACCATGTTTCAACACCGGTACTCTCCATTCCGGTGTCATATTTGCCAAAGGTCATTTACGAGAAAAACCCACCTGAGGATTCATTATAAAAATAAACATCAAATTGGCAGTGACAGAGCAACTCATAAACTGTTAGACAATGAAAAATGTGATCATGAAGGCCCTTGCTCAGTAGACAGATTGAAAGGTGATTGTTCTGCCGAACTTAGAGGTGATCCCAGCAGTAACTCTGAGAAGACACAGTGTCATTCTAAAAAAGATGAATGCAGTTCAGAAACAGATTTGGAATCATCTTGTGAAGAAACAGAAAGTAAAACATCTGATATTTCATCACCAGTAGGCGGCCATAGAGAAGAAGGAGAAGGAAGAGAGGGAAGAGGTAGCAGGCGAACTGTTGCTAAAGGAAATCTGTGCTATATTTTGAATAAATACCACAAACCATTCCATTGTATCCATAAAACTTGCAACTCCTCATTCACCAATCTGAAAGGTTTGATTCGCCATTACAGAACTGTACATCAGTACAACAAAGAACAGTTATGTTTAGAAAAGGACAAAGCAAGAACCAAAAGGGAACTTGTAAAATGTAAAAAGATATTTGCTTGCAAATACAAGGAATGTAACAAACGCTTCCTGTGTTCCAAAGCTCTTGCTAAGCACTGTAGTGACTCTCATAACCTAGACCATATTGAAGAGCCAAAAGTACTTTCTGAAGCTGAATCTATGGCAAGGTTTTCCTGTAACCAGCCTCAGTGCCCTGCTGTTTTTTATACATTCAGCAAGTTGAAACACCACTTGGTGGAACAGCATAATATTGAAGGAGAAATACATTCAGATTATGAAATTCATTGTGATCTTAATGGCTGTGGCCAGATCTTCACTCATCGCAGTAATTACTCACAACATGTATATTACCGACATAAGGACTATTATGATGATCTCTTCAGAAGCCAGAAAGTAGCAAATGAAAGGCTACTACGGAGTGAAAAGGTTTGTCCAACAGCTCATACTCAGTTGCAAGAACATCAAACTACCAGGAGGTCATTTAATGCTAAAACTAAAAAATGTGGCTTAATCAAAGAAAAGAAAGCTCCAATTAGTTTTAAAACAAGAGCTGAAGCCCTCCATATGTGTGTAGAGCAGTCAGAGCACACACAGTACCCCTGTATGGTTCAAGGATGTTTATCTGTGGTGAAGTTGGAGAGCAGCATAGTGAGGCATTACAAACGTACCCATCAGATGAGTAGTGCCTATTTAGAGCAACAAATGGAAAACCTTGTTGTTTGTGTTAAGTACGGTACAAAAATTAAGGAGAACCCCCTTCTGAAGCAGAGCCCTGTATAAAGAAAGAAGAAAGTAGAAGCTGTGAATCAGAGCATGCAAAGCACAGCCATTCTCCGGGTGACAGCAGTGCAACCCTCCAGAACACTGATTCCTGCCATCCAGGTGAAAGAAATGGATGTCAGAAAGGGTGTACAGAAAACAACCCAGTATTTGATGCAGACACTCTGCTCTACAGGGGAACTTTGAAATGCAACCACAGTTCAGAAACCACTTCTTTGGAACAATGTAATATAGTTCAGTCTCCTCCCTGTAAAATAGAAAATTTCATACCTAATCCCAGTGGAACTGAAAATGGGACTTACTTCACGAATTTCCAACTGCCTTTACCAAGGATCAAAGAAGAAACTGGGCAGCATAGTTCAGGGCAAGAAAACACTGTAAAAAATTCAACCCATGTCCCAAAAGAGAGTTTTAGGAAGCATTTACAACCTAAGTCATTTGATTTGAAGACTTACAAACCTATGGGATTTGAATCTTCATTTCTGAAATTTATTCAGGAAAGTGAAGAGAAAGAAGATGATTTTGATGACTGGGAGCCTTCAGAGCACTTAACATTAAGTAATTCTTCACAACCCAGTATTGGCTTAACAGGGAGTGATATGGCAAATAATATGGTGAATGACAATGACCCAGAAGTTGACATACCTCATTCTTCCAGTGACTCTACAATTCATGAGAACCTGACTTCAATCCCACCTTTAATAGTAGCTGAAACAGCAACAGTTCCTTCCTTGGAAAACCTGAGGGTTGTATTGGACAAAGCATTAACAGACTGTGGAGAGCTTGCCTTAAAACAGCTTCATTATCTTCGACCAGTGGTTGTGCTTGAAAGATCTAAGTTTTCCACACCAATCTTAGACTTGTTCCCGACAAAAAAGACAGATGAGCTTTGTGTAGGAAGTTCCTAAATAGCAATTTTGCTTTAGAAACAGACTGGCTCCAACACTGCAACATGGGGACAATTGCCAACATGAACAAAGGCTGAGAACCAGCCACACTGTTGTTTAGGGTAGAATAGGCTGTGTATTTACATGAATGTATAATATCTATGTCAGCAGAATTGGCTGAGTCCATTAGCTCTCCAGTTGGTTTATTGATTGTTTTTTTTTTTTTTTGTCTTTTTTTGTTTATTAAAAAGAAATGGAACTGTACTCTTGTTTGGTGCTAATTAATACATCAAAAATATACTGGGGCTTCCTTTTTCAAATAAGTGTGCATGATTGTATATGGAACAAATACTAAGGTCCCAGGGTGGGAGGGTGAGGGAAAGGGATACGGAGTTCTTACTTGACTTGAATGTGCACCTGAGGGTGCTTTGTGTAATATATTGTACACTACAGCATCTTATATTTTTTGAGTTGAGTTTCAATAAATTACAATTTTTCACCCATTTCTTGTTTACTCATAAGGAGTTTTCATGCCACATGTAAGCTGGAATTACCTATGTATGTTCTGGAGTATGTGCTCATATTTTACTCCGGTAATTTTTTTGTTTTTTTTGGGTTTTTTTGCAGTATTGGGATTTGAATTCAGGCCTTCATGCTTGCTAGGCAGATATTCTACCACTTGAGCCAGACCTCCAGCCCTCAATAATTTTTTTAATTAGCCAAACCATTCAGGTCAGGGATCTTTTTGAATGACTCTTGTCTTAAAATATTTGTGGAAGGAAAATTCTGAGATTGAGTTATAAGCCCTGGGATTCAGTATGGCTCCCAGAGGAGAGGGTAGGCCAAGCAGAATATGGCAGGCATAGCAAATTCAGAGGCATGTTTCTGGGAAACTACAAATAATTTGATATGCTGGCAATAAAAGATGAGATTATTGTACAGATAGATAGGAACCTACAAACAAGTGCAAACTGAGGAAATTTGGTCTTGAGTCTATAATCAACTGAGAGACCTCTTTGTGTGTGTGTGTGTGTGTGTGTGTGTGTGTGCGTGTGTGTGTGCGTGATACTGCAGTTGAACTCGACCTTACATTCTACCATTTGAGCCACTCTCCATCAGCCCTATTTTTTTGAGATAGGGTCTCGAACTATTTGCTCAGTCTGGCTTGGAACTGAGATCCTCCTGATCTCTGCCTCCTGAGTAGCTAGGATGGTAATGAGCCACTGGCGCCCAGCAAGAGCCTTTGATGGATGTTAAGCAAAGTTACATATTGAAATTCACTAATAGGTGAATTGAAATATGCAAAATGTAATAGGAAGATTAGAATGGAATAGGAAATAATAAGATGAAGTAATTGAGGCAAAGTTGGAAGGCTGGCAGTGTAGTTCAAGTGGTAGAGCACTTGCCTATGGAGCACAAAGATATATTCAATTCCTAGTATGACCTTACCGACAAAACGAAATTCAGGGACTGGAGGTACTCCAATGGTAGAGTTGCTTAGCTAGTAAATTTAAGGCCCTGAGTTCCAACCCCAGTTGAGGGGGAAGGTGGAATAGGAGAGGGAGACTTTATGAGGCACTGCTGACAGCTGCAGCAGAGGGAAGTAGAGATGAAATCAAGATACATAAGGAGACAAGGTCATTCAGACTTGGAAGGAGATGAAAAAGACTGTGGAAAACTTAATGACTTGGTAGTGACACAGCCAGTTAAAGTAGGAATACAAAAAAGACTGGGTATTTAGAACAGAAAGGAAAGCCAAGAGGTGTTTGGTCTTTGTAAATACTAAGTTTCAGTGGACTGTGGGACGTCTAGGTCTAATGACAAGGAAAACAGTGTACAGTAAGCCTGCGTTATTTGTGAATTTGACCAAACTCAATAATAAAAGTTTGAGGCCTTAGTTCAATACCCAGTACTGAAAATAATTTTTTAAAAAAACCTATTTTTAGGTTTTTTTTTTTGTTTTTTTGTTTTTTTTGGTGGTGGTGGTATTGGGGCTTGAACTCAGGACCTCATTTGCTAGGCAGGTGCTCTACCATTTGAGCCACACCACCAGTCCTCAAAACTAAAAATTTTAAATTCCCATACACACATTACACAACACAGAGCCTGGGTTGAGGTGTATATAGGGTAGATTTACTTTGCCTCTACTTTCTGTTCAGTCAGTGTAAAAGCACACCTGTGATAAGCACTGGAAGGCTTACTCTTGTCTTTTTTTTTTTTTTTTCTTTTCTTACCTAGTGGTTTTTAAATTTTGTCGTTTTTACATTTATTTACATGTGTATACATTATTTGGTCCACCTCCCCACCCCATGTCTTTAGATTGTGCGTATGAGGGAATTATGTGAGATTTGTTATCCTGAGTCTGGTTTATTTTGCTTAACATAATGAGTTCCAGTTCCACCCCATTTTCCTGCAGATAATATGATGAATCTTCATGGCTAACTAATAGTTCATTGTGTATATGTGCCACATTTTCTTTATCCATTTACCCATTGATGGACACCCAGGTTGAGTTTCATAACTTGGCTATTGTGAATAGTGCCAAGATAAACATACAGGTAGCTTTGATTCCTTTAGGTGTATACCCAGGAGTGGTATAGCTGGATAGTATGGTAATTCTAATTTTAGCTTTTTGAGGAGCTGGTTTCCATAGTGACTGGACTAATATTCCCACCAACAATTTGTAAGGGTTCCTCCCCCAAGCTTGCCAACATTTATTGGATTTCTTGAGAGTCATTCCTGATTTTTTTTTTTTTTTTTTTTGGCAGAACTGAGGTTTCAGCTTGGCCTCATGCTTGCTGAACAGGCACTGTTACCACTTGAGCCACTCCACCAGCCCTGATAAGAGTCATTCTAATGGGTGAGATGATAGAATCTCATTACAGTTTTTGGGGTTTTTTGGTGGTACTGGGTTTGAACTCAGGGCTTCACGCTTGGAAGGCAGGTGCTCTACCACTTGAACCACTCCACCCCCCCCCTTTTTGTGTTAGGTATTTTCCAGATAGGGTCTTTTCAAACTGTTTGCCCAGGCTGGCCTCAAACCATGATCCTCCTGAGTAGCTAGGATTACAGTTATGAGCCACTGGGGTCTGACTTCAATGTAGTTTTGATTTTTTTTTTTTCCTGACAGCTAAAGATGGTAAGCACTTTTTCATGTATTCATTTGCCATTTGTACTTCGAGAAATGTCTGTTCAGTTCATTTGCCCATTTATTGATTAGATACTTCTTCTTTTAGTGTTTAATTTTTGAGTTCTTTACATGTTCTGGTTACAAATTCCCTTCCTGAATAGATGGCAAAGATTTTCTCCCATTTTGTAGGCTATTTGCTCTGGTAATTGTTTCCTTTGCTGTGCAGAAGCTTTTTAATTTGATGCAGACCCATCCCATTTGTCAATTTAAAAAAAAACAAAAACAGGAGCCGTTTATATTTGCAGATTATCAATGGCTAATATATTCAGTTGGAGGCCTAGAGGCAGATTTTCGGTGACTAAGTGGCCCACAAACTCTTTCAGCTTTTCTTCCAAATGGAAGAGAAAGCCCATTTAAAAAGTTTCTCAGATATTTTCAATAGTTCCTGAATTTTCTGTAGGAAGCTCTTAGTTGTAGAGTTTGATACGTGTGTCCACCATTAAATCCAGATAATGTTTTATATCAAAACTTATGTTGGGGGTGGCGAGGTGGCCCAAATAATGTATATACATGTAAGTAAATGTAAAAATGATTAAATTTTAAAAAATTAAAATGGCAAATTGGGAAATACTTTTTTTTTAAATATAAAATGGGATTTATTAGAGAGAAAGGAAAGGCTACAGCTAGAGAAGTGCAGCAGAGCCCAGAAGCCAGTAGCGCCAAAAAAAAAAAAACTTAGGTTAAGCAAAGCCAAGTTACTTGTTCCTCAAGTATACTTTGAGACACTTTCATCCATTTTTCATAGCTTTCATGGTGCTTCATTTGTCAGTTTTTTGGGGGGAGGGGCAATACTTGGGTTTGAACTCATGGCCTCATGCTTGCTAGGCCAGTGCTCTACCACTTGAGCAATTCCACCAGTCCTCCAGTCCGGTCAATTCTTACTATTTCTTGAGCATTCATATCCTGTTCAGGAAGTTGTTGTCAATGCCTGTATCTTCAGATGTTTTCCCTATACTACTTTCCTTTAGTAGTTTCAGGTTATAAATTAAGGTCTTTGATCCATTTTAATTGATTTAATTTGATTTTTTTTTTGTACCAGGGTCTTGTGCTTGCTAGGCAGATGCTCTACTACTTGAACCATCCTACCAGCCCAAGCACACACATATTTAAAAATATTGATGCTTTGGGAGACAAAAAAAAAAAAATCAAAGAATTTGTCAAGGTTATTGTAGAAGATACAGGGTGTGATAGGTCAGCAGCATGTGTATCACCTAGGAGCTTGCTAAAAAGTTAGAATTTCAGGTCCTGCTGCATACGTACTGTACCAAAGTATGATTTTTTTTCAATTTATTTAGGTACTAAAGGTTGAATTTAGGACTTCATGCTTACTAGGCATGTACTCTTCCACTTGAACCATGTTCCCAGCCTTTTAGATTATTTTTTAGATAGGGTTTCGGGTTTTGCCCAGGCCAGCTTGGACTGTGGTCCTCCTGTTTGTGCTTCTTACATAGCTGAGATAACAGGACACACCACCATGCCAAACCATTGGTTAAAATGGGGTCTTACAAACTTTTGCCTGGGCTGACCTTCAACTGAAATCCTGGCCTCCAACTAGAGAGATTCTCCTGCCTTAGCCAAGTGCTGGGATTACAGTTATTAGCTACCATACCTAGCAAAATCTGCATTTTGGTAAGATTTCCAAATGATTTCATGGGCACAAAAAAGTTATAGAAGCACTGAATTGCAATACAAAGTGAGAAGTGCTGTGAGAATTCAGGATGATTACACTTTTTAGTATCTTACATAAAATAATTTACTGATTTTTCATAACCCTAAGAAGTAGGTGCTGTTATCCTTATTTGACAGATAATGAGATAGAGATGAACTATCTTACTGACTAGATGACTAGCAGAGAGGGCCACTAAATGGAAAGGGGTAACAGGTGGAAAGTCGGTGATTGTATTCATGTGCCCAAAATACCACCGCTCCATAATTATACTGTTTTGTTTGAATAATAGGAATGAACTTGGAAATTAGGTAAAATCCAGTTCATGCTGATCCAACTCCACTCACACATCCAAG